TCGATTCATTAGGTTTAAGTCGGACCGTTCCTTTAACCCTTAAGAGAAGTGATACTTGACAATCAAAATTTATTTTTAAAAAATTCACGTCAACTCTTCTTCTTCTCCTCCTCCTCCTCCAGGTCAACTCTTCTTCTTCTTCTTCTTCACACTATTTCTTCTTCTTCTACATACTTGAAATCAGTAATAAAGTCGCACGATATTTACACACGAGTTTTACACGAATTTTTTAGTGAGCTTAGAAAGAATCTGAAACTCCTTTTTGTTTTGTACTTGTTTTTCTAGTGAGCTTTCATGATATGAACTTCTTTCAATGATTTCCCAAACCTTAGCCACACAGAGATTTGCCGCTCTTCCTTTCTCATGGCTCACTCGTTAGAGCAAAGTCCGGAATTGTTTCCATGGCTGAAATCCATGCCTTTAACTCCAGAGTATAGGCCTACTCTAGCAGAGTTTCAAGGTCCGATTGCATACATTTCCAAGATCGAAAAGGAGGCTTCCCAGTATGGAATATGCAAAATCATACCCCCGGTGCCAATTGCTCCTAAGAAGACAGCAATTGGGAATCTCAACCGTTCACTATTGGCTCGTGACAGTGATGGATTAAAAAAATTTAAGAATTAAAGTTTAAAATTTTAATTTTTTTAAATAACGGGTATATAAATTTTTCATTATTTTTTTCTTAACACAGTAGATTAAATTTAATCATTTTTCCAAAATAATGGATCCACTTTACCCCTACCAGGGCTTTGTCATCCGCCCCTGGCTCGTGCAGCGGCTAATGCGAGCCCAGATTCGAAGCCAACACCCACATTCACTACCCGACAGCAGCAGATCGGGTTTTGCCCCAGGAAGCACCGGTCTGTTCAGAAACCCGTGTGGCAAATTGGGGAGCACTACACTTTCCAAGAATTCGAAGCGAAAGCCAAGAGTTTCGAAAGGAATTACTTGAAGAAACACAGCAAAAAGGGTACCCTTTCGGCTTTAGAACTCGAAACCCTTTTCTGGAAAGCAACTGTTGATAAACCATGGTCTAGTATGTTAACCACATGCCCGGTTCGGCTTTCGTGCCTTTGAGCTCGAAGAAGAGCAGTTGATAAACAGAGCTTTTGTGTGTCAATGGAGAGGAGTTCAATCCTCTTATCGAGTTAAGTGAACTATTAACGGTCTCTCCTCTGTTTCTTCACTAGCTACATGTGAAATACTTTGTGTTCATTTACTTTGCATATGTAAGTGGTAGTCCATATTGGATGAGTATGATTGGCTAGTTTGAGTGAAGGAGGCATTATCTTAATAAGCCATGCTCAAATTTGACTTCTTGTTGGATTATGCCAATTGAGTTTTTAAAGAGGCTTTAGTTACCAGTTTCATTATGTTTAGATGAAGGGGATTCAATCCTCTTGGTGAGTTTAGTGAACTGTTAATTATTTATCCTCTGTTTCTTTGCTTGCTACATGGGAAAAAGAAATACTTTGTGTGGCCTCTGCATATGTAAGTAGTAGCCCACATAGGATATCATTGGTGAGATTGACTAGTTTGAGCGATGGAAGAATTAAGCAATAAACACGGTGCTCAAGTTTGAATTCTTGTTGAACACAGACATGAACACCCACAAGAAGAAGAAGGAGATGTGTGAGTTTTACACGAGTTTTTTTTTTCTGATTTATTTTTTATTTTTTAAATGCCAAATCAGACTTCCGTTATTGGGTTAACGGAAGGTAACAACCGAGGGACTTAAATAAGACGGATCGACAACAAAAAAGACCAAGCACACTTAATTAAAAAATCGGTGACCAAAGTCGGTCAGACCGAAAACAAAGGGGACTATTAGCATAGTTTACCCTAAAATTTATAACACTTTCAACAATAAAACGTGATAATATAATAGAAAACTTTTTTTTATAAATTCAATTAGTATGAAAAGAAGATGCAAAAATAGGAAAGAAATTGGAACATAACTATAACAAACTGTATAAAATATAATACAAATTTGAAAATAACTGACACCAATTACGAACACAACATGAATATATGATCGAAAATAAATCAAAATTAGATTTAATGTTCCATCCATTACAACCTTGAAAAAGTGGCAAATTCCACCTCAGAATTATGTTTGTCATGTTGTTAAATATTATATTCAGCGTTACCTTACCAGTGATGACAATAAATAAGACGATGGAGACCCGTCCGGTTCCATTCATGAACGTCTCTATGGTGAAGACACAGTGAACGAAGAACAAAGAAAGCAAGAAAACTTGGAAATATACGTGTTCCATCTTTTATATGAAAAATGATAACATAGGAATATTATCAGTTCTGATTTACTTTGATGAGTATATATTGCATTTTGATTTCAACAACATTGGATTTATTTTTGATTTCTGCTCATCTTGTTCAGATGCTGAAATCTGATGACTGTTATTCACATATGCTGAAACTTGTTTCGATCAACACTGTTTCTGGAATGCTTTTCGTTGTTTGATGCTTGCTGCTTTTCTGGGCAGCAAGGTGACTTTCTACTTTGCCGAGCAAATGAGGGGGAAAATAAGTTCTCCTTTCAAATCCAACTGTAGTATCTAGTGTATGAATTAACAAAATACACTTTCTAATTTAAATTAGAGAAAATAACTTTAGTGACCGAAAATGACTTATAATCTATTATTTTAACCAATTTTTTTGGATTTGTGAAAATGACCAACAATTTTGCAACACAAGTTCCAAAATCGCAACACAAATAGTTAAATCGCAACGATAATATGTAATTCGCAACGCGAATAGGTAAATCGCAATGATAATATGTAAATCACAACGCAAATTCTCCAAATTTGTAACTCGAATTTCGCAACGCTAATTACCGATATAGGTAATTAGTATTGCGAAAACGAAATTCGAGTTGCGATTTTTCAAATTCGCAACGCGAATAGGTAAATCGCAACGATAATATGTAAATCGCAACGCGAATTCTCCAAATTCGCAACTCGAATTTCGCAACACCAATTACCGATATAGATAATAAGCGTTGCGAAAACGAAATTCCCGTTGCGATTTTGGAGAATCGCGTTGCAAAAACGAAATTCACGTTGCGATTTTCCAAATTCGCAACGCGAAAGTCAAATTCGCAATGCGAATAGTTAAATCGCAACGATAATATGTAATTCACAACGCGAATAGGTAAATCGCAACGATAATATGTAAATCACAACGCGAATTCTCCAAATTCGCAACTCGAATTTCGCAACACCAATTACCGATGTAGGTAATTAGCGTTGCGAAAACAAAATACGCGTTGCAAAAACAAAATTCGCGTTGCGATTTTCCAAATTCACAACGCGAATAGGTAAATCGCAACGATAATATGTAAATCGCAACGTGAATTCTCCAAATTCGCAACTCGAATTTCGCAACGCTAATTACCGATATAAATAATTGGTGTTGCAAAAATGAAATTCGTATTGTGATTTTGAAGAATCGAGTTGCGAAAATTGCATTACGATAGTACTGTTTACCTATATCGATAATTAGCTTTGCGAATTTGACTTCTATGTTGCGATTTACATATTATTGTTGCGATTTTGGAACCTGTGTTGCGAAATTGGTTTGCGTTGCAAATTTGTTGGTCATTTTCGCAAATCCAAAAAAATTTGGTTAAAATCATATATTATAAGGCATTTTCGGTCACTGAAGTTATTTTCTCTTTAAATTATCATCCAAAATCCTACGAGCTTCCCAAATATGATAACCCAATGTGGATAGGTCTTTCTTCGGTCGAGACATCTTGTTAACTACAAGCGTTAAGTCCGATTCGAAGACTACATGTTTCCACCGATACTCACTCATCAAAGAAAGTGAGTAGAGGCTATACTTGAGTATTATAATCGAGTGTTTATGAAATGATGTGGAAGAGAATATAACCGTCTTTGTTGAGGGAGGAGAAATATGTTAGTGTCACATGGTTTAATTATTTCATTGTATAAACTACACTTCTTAGTTGCTAGCGAAATAATTAAACCATATGACACTAACATATTTCTCATCCCTCAACAAAGAAGGTTCTATTCTCTTCCACATCATTTCATAAACACTCGATCATAATACTCAAGTATAGCCTCTCCTCACTTTCTTTGATGAGTATCGGTGGAAACATGTAGTCTTTGAATCGAACTTAACGCTTATAGTCAACAAGATGTCTTGACCGAAGGAGGACCTATCCACATTGGGTTATCATCTTTGAGAAGCTCGTAGGATTTTGGATGATAGTTTAAATTAGAAAGTGTATTTTGTTCTTTGAGTTTGTAATACTGTAACATACTTTGGCTAAGTGGGCTCTCTGTTCGGAAAATGCCTTGTATTTTAACTCGGTTTGTCTCAAGATTATCACGTCTGTTGCATCCAATAATTCTTATTTTGGTAATACAAGGTCATAGGACACTCTTTTCCCCTTATAGGTCTTGGAAGTTTTTTAACGAGGCCCATTTCCTTTCAAAAAAAAAATGTATGGCCTCTACTCTATGTAATTCACCATCTCTTTACACCTTTAATTGCCAAGACTCTATCTAAACATTTAACTTAAACATATCCAAACATATACTCCAAAGTTTCTAAGTTTATTTATGTCTTGCAAATTTCCAGCCACATTCCGGCTCAATTATTTACTCGGCTCGCACACAAGCAGGTGTAAATATTGTTTGACCAAATGGAGACTACATACAAGATAATACTTGGAAACCAATCTTTTTCCTTTTGTGCGTGTACAAAAGAAGCTGTAATATGAAAATAGAAGGGTTACCACATCTAAAGGATGGCAGCCTAAGCCAACTAGACTAAACACGAGGTTCAAGTAACCAAATGAAGCTTGTTTTCATTTGAGACATGCAATGGAAGGTAACTAATGCTACATAAAGGAACATAATATGGTTTTGTTTTGGGGGTATGGACAAGCCAACAAATGAAACTCGATCCAGCAAAGGCACGCATCTTAAGATATGGTAGAAAAACATGTTACCTTTTCAAATATCTATATATGGAATTATAGTAGTGTGAGGAAGCAAAAGGGATCGTTACTACCTTGACCTTTTAAACCAGTTGCATTGGAACTACTCGTGCATTATGTCACAGCTCCAAACTCGGCTCGTAACTGCCACCGCCAGCATCATCTGTTTGAGAAAGATGACCAATGATAGCTTGGCCATAAAACTATTTCCATGGAACACCCGAGCCACTTTTCATGGCTTTAGCTTCCGACAGAGATACAGACATAGCCAGCATCATCTGCTCCTCATAACTTTCAGGAACAATGTGTCCTAAAACATTAGGAAAGCTACCCCTTATTACATCTTGTTGTGATATTGTAGAAATATCACCAACATCATCTGTAACATCAGAGCTTGCATAGCTAGTACCCGCTTCAGCCACCTCTGATCCATGATCAACTCCCCATTCCCCCTCATCTCTTGTAGGTGTCAAATGATTATCAGCTGGCCCGTCAACCGGACTCTCTGCAGGACAGTTCTCAGCAACTTGGTCCAACCTATTACAAAACCTGCTGCTTCCGTGAAACATATTGAATGCTGGCACATTTCCTTTCTGGTCGAGAGAAAATGCCCCGCCCATCGGCTGACACTCACCAAGGGCAGCTATTGCACAAGTAAAACCACCAGAAGGAGACGATGATGATGATGAACTGGCCACTGTGGCCATCGCTGGTGGAATATAGCAATCTCTGGATACATATTGTACTGAAGCAGCAGCAGCATCTCCATTGTTAGAATTTCTATGTCTTCTGTTATCCTTTATCAATCAAGATATCAACAGTCATATGGACCGAATTTAAGAAAATAAAATCAATTAAAGTTTATATGAAATATATTAGGTAAAGTTTAGTAGACTACATAAACAAGAAGATGAAAATATGGAAAAGCCTCTTGAATAATATGTTGATCCGACTCTTCATTTTTATTTAAGTATTCGCATATGACACTACTGTCAAACACGAAATATGTGGATATGACCTCAAGGATCCTCCAAATACATGGAAAAAGATAGAAAACCTTACCATACTCGTGTCCAGCACATACTCATATCAGATGCACACACTCAAGTCCAAGTAACATACTTGAACAGTTAAAGGAAGTTTTCAACGAAAAATAATACCAAAATTGACCACACTTTGTTATAATTGACAGTAAGAGTTTTCTTACAGATGCGAAATTCTCAAATTCTACAATCAGTTTCATACCTGAATTGACAGCCAAATTGCTTTCATGACCATTACTTCCTCAAGATCTATGTCAAACTCATCATCCCTGCAATTTAATCATTTGATACTAGATAGTGAAGCAGAATTCAATCTGATCATTTCTGAACATAAGATCAACAGTGTACAACCTTGAGTACTTGTGTAGTGGAAAAGAAAATATATGTCTCAACCATTCCATTCAAAAACATATAAAATAGAAAGTTCACCACAATGAAATGCACCCAACACTATATCCTCTCTTTGGCATAACTCTTCCACAGAAAACAAGATTGTAATTAACAAACTACAAATGGTTGGCATATTTTTCCTACACTTAAGGAAGTCTTTCATGCATCAGCAGACCAGTCTCCATTCATTCTCATCCAAAACGAAAAGAAATTGAGGTCCATGGCTCTGTACTGTAGTTATTTTGGTAGATCTGTAACCAGCCAAGGACTGCATCTATTCTGCACCAGGCTCAGATCCTTGGATGAACTATTTGTGCCAACCATCTAAGATTGATAAGCAGTTTTTGCCCCAAAAGGAAAAGGCACAACAAAAATAAACATATATATGCATGTAATTATGATAGACCCTCGGTAACTTTCGTAAATTTAAGGCTTCTTTCTAGTTTTCATCTATATCTTCTTTGAACTTCCGATAACGAAATATCTTTCATTAACTCACATGCTCTTATTAAAGAAATTGTAGGTCTATCCTTACATGTTGAAACCACATTTAATCTGTTTCACTCATTCTATCCCCAATGAGTGTAACCCTCAACCCTTTAAATATTCATCCAAACTCTCAATCTCTCCTTGTGTGCTATGCATCTAATGAAATAATTTGATCTTGAAAACAGTTGTGAATGGTGAAACATTTGTCATCAGACATTTAAGAACTAACTTTGATGCTGATCTGGCAACTACCAACAGTCATTACAAAACAACTTCCAACAAAAATTCATTTTCAAATCCACTTTCACATTAAACCCATCAGATTCAGTCCCTTTACCATCCATCTTGAACTAGAGAAAAAATATCAGTCACAGCTGTGGATGGAGGACCATCTGTGAGAAACTCTTCTGAACAAATCAATCATAAACCAACTAGAAATGAAAATACTAAGACCAATATTATGACATGAGTTCCAAGATTTGAATAGAAAAATTAACACGGACATGAACTAGCAACCAAGTGTATGCACTAATTTTTCTCATAAGATATTAATATGAACTGTAAATAATATAGAGGATGAAAAGATAAATAAGCACTGCCTACCTGTTTGTCCTGGTATGTGGTGGTTGTTGAGTCATTGAGGCAACCTGCAATTCTTGTGAAGAAACCATTTCCTCCTCAGAGGATCGAGCTGCAAATAACAAAGGGAAAGTATGGGATACATTGAAGATAGAACAATGTCAAAGCAAATGAAGAGTCAATATATAAGATAAAATATCACAATATATTGATACCTTCAACTGAATTGTATTGAAATTCCCCCAGTACAAAATTGGTGCTTGAAGAACTCAATTCTTGTCTTTTCTGCATTCTCTCTTCATCATCCTGAAGTTCCTGCTGCCTCATTCTAATTTTTGCCTCTATAACTCGTTGCTCTTCCTGCAAATTTTAAATAGAAGAAAAGGATATATAATTCATTTTTTATCTAGTGAAAATCATAGGATTTAAAACCTCCATTGTTTTGGAAAGAGACTGTGAACTTACAATTTGCTCGATCCCTTTTTCCTCCTTTGTTTTCTCACCTTGGTACTCAACAGCATAGTTTGAGGTTTTGCAGAAGGGGCACCTCAAAATGTCAAGGAATACAAACATTGGAATAAACGTACATAGAAACTAATCAAATTGAAAAGCTCTACAGTCAATTTCATCAATGGGAAGGATACTGGGTAGGATGGCTTGAATTTGGATTCGTCATTTGTAGAAAACACTCTGGTGCAAATAAAATCCGTCAAAATTTCATGCAACTAGCAATATCAATAAATATTAGTTGGAAAATTCAGATATTTTACCTGTGCATATACTTTTCATGCAACATCTCGATCTGTTGAGACTCAGGTAATACTAAAATAAAATGGGGGGAAATCATATTGAGGTAATCAAAAGGTATTACATTCAACCACAACTAAATTTAAAAGATGACTAATGTAATGTTTAACAAAGAATCAGTAAACAAGAAGAGAGTTTTAACATAAGAAGATACAAAACAGAATAAATACAAACCAAAAAGCAAATTGGGCATTCTTCGAGATCATAACAGCACTCTTCATTGCCAGGATAACATGGAGCGAGCTTTGAATCAAGTATCATCTTTCTCAGCTTCTTGGCATCCACATCTTTATGAACATATAACCCTTGGGGGCGTGTATACCTCTCATCCACCACTTGCTTTCTCCTTCCCAATTTATTACCCATAAAAATTATCTCAAATATGTTCCAAAAGATAATTTATTTCCCTCTCTTTCTCCTTCTACTTACAATTTGCTTGTTATTCTAATTCTACAAAATCGAAACCAACCAAAATAGCTAGACATTTGGTTTTGATTGTTTGGCTTACACAAAATAACAAACACATCTGAAACTCACGTACCATCTAAAACCCTAATTCAAAGTTTTACAACGCAAAAGTCAATTGCACACAGGAAAAAAATTAATTATAATCGAGGTCGACAATGGTTCAGTTTATGAAATCATGCCCCAATGCATCCTGCAAATGCAACAAATAAAAAGAGCTCAAAATTGAACGTAGAGATCCGAATTAATAGTTAAAAAATGCTTCCGAATTCCAAAATGTGAACTTACTAACCAAATATTCATATAAAACCCCTAAGTTTTGGATTATTATGAGAAATGAAGTTACCAAGTCCCATTTTCCACAGTGCATTCAGTTCAAAAACATTTCGATGCATATAATTCAAGTATTCAACCCAAAAAACAGTTAACACTAAAACTGAGAAGGCAAAGTAAAATCATTTTCGGAAAAAATAGATTAATTTAAATTCTGAAAGAAAAAACACGAAGTTAATCCCAGAAAAAGAAAAGATCGAACGAAAGGAAGAAAAAAATTTAGTGAATAAAAGTAATTTGAAAGGTTAAAAGAAAATTACCTTGAAATTTAATATCTTGAAAGGGATTCGACGAAGTGAAATTGCTAAATTGGAGAGGTGATAAAGGGGGATTATAAAATCAGAACTTCTCTTAGAAAAGAAAAATCAATTTTATTTATTTATCATTTTCTTTCTTCATACATTATACACGTCCTTTTTTTCATTTTTTAACGGGATAAACTGTACAAATAGTCCCTTTTATTTTTGACATGATGGATTTTGATCACCGATTTAAAAATTAAATGTGTTTGGTCTCTCATATTATCTATCTATTTGATTTTACTCACTCAGTCATCTTTGAACTTTCCTTTGTAGACACTGCAAAAACCGCCACCTAGTTTCTCCACGAATGAGTTGGTTATTTTCTGGATATAAAAACATTTGTATATCTTTGGAGCTAATGATCTATATTTGTTTATGTAAGTCTCGACGTTCGGAGATTTTATCATTTCATTTTGATCATTCGGGACATTAGTTTCATACTTTTGTATCCAAGGACGAGGTAAACAAATATCACTCCTTTAGTGGTGGTGTTGAAGATGAGGACGTTAGGTAGGTTTTTAAGGTTGTTAGGTAAGTTGCGAAGTTGTTAAAAAGATACGTGTTAGCTGTGTAAGATGCAAACCTTTGCACGGAGAATGATGATGGAGAGACGAGTAAACAAATCAACCACATTTATATACAAAATTACAAATTCAACACTCTCACTCTGTACGTATCTCTATCTCCAGCCCAAACCTATTTCTATTTTCCAAAGGTCATTTTAGTCGGGGCAAAAAATGGGTTGCGAAAGCTCAAAAGCTGATAAAAATAAAGCCTTGCGTCTATGTAAAGAAAGAAGTAGATTCATAAAGCAAGCTATTGATTCGAGGTACGCTCTAGCGGCTGCACATGTTTCTTACCTTCAATTTGTTAGAAACATCGGCCTAGCTTTAAGAAGATTTACTAAAGTTGATATTTTGATAGAGTCCTCTCAATCAACCTTAGCTACTGATGTAACACCCTGAAATAACCCCAAATCAAAAATCCTAAAATTTGAGGATTTTAACCTTAAATAATTTGAATTTGGTGACCAAATTGAAAGTTTTGTGCCAATTTCGTAAACTCTAAATAGCCTGAGGACTTATTAATTAACCTAATTTTTAAATGGAAACAACTTCTTCCCCTTTCTTTTATTACACCCGTGCGACACTTCCTTCTTTTCTTCAGTCAAACCCTAGCCGTTCACCATCCCTTTATAAACCCTAGAGCCGTTCTCTCTTCCCCGTTGTCGTGCCGATGGTCATCACCGGGTAAGGTAGTCAGTCTTCGATCAAGACTCTCGTTGAGTAGTACGAATATGAATCACTCGTGAGCTTTGGCTCGCATATTTGACACCGCCGCCTCTATGTTTAGTTGTTTATGGCGATGGAGTGACCGAGTCCTCGTCGAGGAAGGCTCAGCTAGCTTGTGTCACGGCTGGCAGCTTTGTTTGGCCGTGAAACCCCCGTCGGTTCTATTTTATTCTATTGATTTCTTTCGTGTGATGGTCGATCATCGACGATAAGGCGGACCGTGAAGTCATCGGCCTTCAAGACTGTTGCTGCTGTAGTTCCATTGCCAAAGTCCCTTTCGTTTATACCGACAGTCCTCCCTTAGTTTAACGAAAATCCTATTGTCGGTTCTCAATCAGACTGAAAATTATTTTAATCGTCATGTAAATTATTACATTAGCATGAAGCACTAACAACAATTTTAAGACCATCAAGCTTGAAGCCATTTCAAGACTTGATTGTTGCTGATAGGAAGGTTGTAAGTTGCTTGATTAATAATTAACCATTTTTTCTATTCTTTCTATTTATAGCCTACCATTATCATTATACTTTGTTTTCCTTCCCTAACCTCTTTGTAGCATATGCCTAAGACAATTTGCTTAAGTCTTGAGTAAGTTATTTTAAGAACTCTACAAGAGAGATTTGAGTGGAAAAAGCCTTTGAGAGAAGCGAGATCAATAAAGGACAAACAAAAGTCATATAAGTCCTAGAATAAAAACACGAGAGATTGAGTGTCATCTATTTTTCTTGGAGTGAAAGTTTTGAGGTTTTGCTAACTGAATTGGTAAGGTCCTTCTATACATTTTATTTTTTTCTTATTTTACTAACAGTGTCTTAAGGTTTAGAAAATTCACGTTGAGAAGTAGCATAAAAAATGCAAGTAACAATATAGGGAGATGTTGAGATTTCTAAGGTTGGAACTTGAGCCTCTCAATGAAAGGCTTGATAGAATTAAGACTTCCAGAGGCAATACTCAAGGCAACCCAAGGAGACAACCAAGGTGAGAAAAAAAGTACCTAGATTACTATGAAGAAGAGAACAATGATGATGCTGAGGTTGATCAAGCATCTACTCAAGATTCAAGGAGAAACACACCAAGGAACCAAGAAGGCCGAATGTTTTTTGATAATAATCTCAACAACATTAAAGTCACTATTTCACCTTTTCAAGGAAAGATTGGTCCAGAAGCATACTTGGGCAGGGAAGTAAAGGAGATCATATCTTTGAATGCCATAACTATTCAGAATGGAAGAAGATGTAAATGATAGCAATGGAGTTTGTTAACTATGCCCTAGTTTGGTAGAATCAATTAACATCAACAAGAAGAAGAAATGGAGAAAAACCTATCAATTCTTGGTATGAGATGAAATGAGTCATGAGGAGGAGGTTTGTTCATGTTCATTACCATCGTGACTTATTCTAATGGTTGTAAACTATCAAGTAAGGCAATATGAGTGTTTAGGATTATTACAAGGAGATGAAAGTTTGCCATGGTCCGAGTAAATGTGGAAGAAGATAGAGAGACAACTATGGTAAGGTTCTTGTTTAATTTAAACCTTGAGATTGCTAACATTGTTGAATTACAACATTATGTAGAAATGGATGAGATGGTTCACATGGCGATGAAGGTTGAAAGACAAATCAAAATGATAGCCACAACTAGAAGCAACAACAATTTTGCATCTAAGTGGAGTAAAAAAAATAACTTCAAAAAGCAAGCACCATTGTAAATTAAGGAGAATGTCGAGCATTCAATAAAAAAACTGAGAATGAAGACTGACAAAGGGAAAAAATGGCCAATATTGAAAAGATTAGAGACATTAAATATTTCAAGTGCCTTAGGGAGGTCACGTAGCAAACCAATGCCCTAATAGAAACATCATGTTGCTACTTGACAATAGAGAAGTTGCATCAGATAATGAAGAAGAGAAGGAAGAAGAGCCCATTGAAGAAGAGGAATAAGAAATTGAGGCTGCAATAGATGGACAATTGTTAGTGGTTAAAAGACTCATAAGCACCAAAATGGACAATGAAGAGAAACAAAGGGAGAACATCTTTCACACAAGATACAATGTGAATGGAAAAGTATGTTTTGTGATTATTGGCGGTGGAAGTTACACCAATGTGGCTAGCACCACTATGGTTGACAAGTTGGGCTTAAAGAGCATAAAACACCTACGCCCTATAAGATAAAATGGCTCAATGATAGAGGAGAACTATACGTGACGAGGCAAGTGTTGGTTATATTCTCTATAGAAAGGTACAAAGATGAGATCCTATGTCATGTTATTCTTATTCACTATCATTTGTAGTGTATTTTGACATAATCATTGCACGTTTTACATAATAATAATCAAACTTTTGCAGAAAAATCTTTTGTTTTGTTGGACGAGACGTGGAAGATGAAAAAATCGTGTGAAACAATTCATGAAAGAGAGCGTAAGGATGTAGTCACCTCTATCACGGAAGTCCTCAAGGATAAATTTCCTCGATTTGAGGACAAATCGCTAAAAAAGGGAGATGATGTGATCATGCTCATGTACATACTACTTTTCATCATTATTTCATCTTACCTCACAAAGATGAAAGAAGCGGGAGTTTTTAGTTTCCTTATACATTTCTATTTATTTCATGTCTTATATGTTTATAAAGGACAAACAAAAGTCATATAAGTCCTAGAGTAAAAACACAAGAGATTGAGTGTCATCTATTTTTCTTGGAGTGAAAGTTTTGAGGTTTTACTAACTGAATTGGTAAGGTCCTTCTATACATTTTATTTTTTTCTTATTTTACTAACAGTGTCTCAAGGTTTAGAAAATTCACATCGAGAAGAAGCACAAAAAATGCAAGTAACAATGAGGGAGATGTTGAGATTTCTAAGGTTGGAACTTGAGCCTCTCAATGAAAGGCTTGATAGAATTAAGACTTCCAGAGGCAATACTCAAGGCAACCCAAGGAGTCAACCAAGGTGAGAAAAAAAGTACCTAGATTACTATGAAGAAGAGAACAATGATGATGCTGAGGTTGATCAAGCATCTACTCAAGATTCAAGGAGAAACACAACAAGGAACCAAGAAGGCCGAATGTTTTTTGATAATAATCTCAACAACATTAAAATCACTATTTCACCTTTTCAAGGAAAGATTGGTCCAGAAGCATACTTGGGCAGGGAAGTAAAGGGGATCATATCTTTGAATGCCATAACTATTCAGAATGGAAGAAGATGTAAATGATAGCAATGGAGTTTGTTAACTATGCCCTAGTTTGGTGGAATCAATTAACATCAACAAGAAGAAGAAATGGAGAAAAACCTATCAATTCTTGGTATGAGATGAAATGAGTCATGAGGAGGAGGTTTGTTCATGTTCATTACCATCGTGACTTATTCTAATGGTTGTAAACTATCAAGTAAGGCAATATGAGTGTTTAGGATTATTACAAGGAGATGAAAGTTTGCCATGGTCCGAGTAAATGTGGAAGAAGATAGAGAGACAACTATGGTAAGGTTCTTGTTTAATTTAAACCTTGAGATTGCTAACATTGTTGAATTACAACATTATGTAGAAATGGATGAGATGGTTCACATGGCGATGAAGGTTGAAAGACAAATCAAAATGATAGCCACAACTAGAAGCAACAACAATTTTGCATCTAAGTGGAGTAAAAAAAATAACTTCAAAAAGCAAGCACCATTGTAAATTAAGGAGAATGTCAAGCATTCAATAAAAAAACTGAGCATGAAGACTGACAAAGG